GAGGCTGGGAAGGGATGTGAAGGGTAAACAAAGGAGGAGGCTGCAATGCTTGATAAGAAATGTACTCATTATCTTGCCCATGTAATTGTAACCCCTCTGTACAGTATGTTCACAAAAAATAAAAATTAAAATTAAAAAGAAGATGTACATTCTTACATTCGAACAAATATATGACATAGTACATTACAGGGAGTTTTTTAGCCTTTTAATCATTTAATGTTGTATATATTTCCTCATGTCCTAGAAGCATAAGTCTTGGTTTATGATTTTTATCATTGCATAATTAATTTTATCATCCCCTATGCTTGAGATTTCAGTTTGTTCCTGGTTTTTTATTATTATAACCAAACTGTGATGAACATTAGTTTTTGTTTGGTTGTTTTGGCATTTGGGGGTTGTTTTTTTTTAGCAGCTTTGGGGCTTAAACTCAGGGCCTCAGATCCTCTCTTGGCATTTTTACTCACAGTTGGTGCTCTGCCACTTAAAGCTATCCCTCCACTTCTGACTTGTTGTTGTTGTTGTTGTTTACTTTTTCAAATGCTGGTCCTGGAGCTTGAACTGAGGGCCTGGGCATGTACATGAGCTTTTTTGCTGAAGACTAGTTAGTATTCTCCCACTTGACCCACAGATCCATTCCTGGGTTTTGGATGATTAATTGGAAATCAGATTCTCATGGACTTTCCTGCCTGGGCTGGCTTCAAACTGCCAACAAAATTTTGGCCAATCGACTTCAACAATTCATCCAAAAAATCATACACCACGATCAAACAGGATTCATTTCAGGGATGCAAAGCTGGTTCAATATACGCAAATCAATTAATATTATTCATCACATCAACAGGAGCAAGAATAAGAACCACATGGTTATCTCAATAGATGCAGAAAAAGCATTCGACAAGATCCAACACCCCTTTATGATGAAGGTTTTGGAAAAATTAGGAATCCATGGAATATTCCTCAATATAATAAAGGCTGTATATGACAAACCTACAGGCAGCATTATACTCAATGGTGAAAACCTAAAGACATTTCCTCTTAATTCAGGAACAAGACAAAGATGCCCACTCTCTCCACTTCTCTTCAATCTAGTATTAGAATGCCTAGCTACAGCAATAAGACAAGATGCAGACATAAAGGGGATCCAAATAGGGAAAGAAGAAATAAAACTCTCCCTCTTTGCAGATGACATGATCTTGTATTTAAAGAATCCTATAGACTCCACTCCCAAATTACTCAAGCTGATTCAAAACTTTGGCAAAGTAGCAGGTTATAAAATTAACCCCCAAAAATCAATGGCTTTTCTGTATGCCAACAATGAGAAAAGTGTGGCTGAAATTAGGAAAGCAACTCCATTTGTAATAGCCCCACAAAAAATAAAATACCTAGGAATTAACTAAAGAAGTGAAGGACCTCTATGATGAAAACTTTAAAATCTTGAAAAGGAAATCAACACAGAACTTAAAAAATGGCAAAACCTCCCATGCTCCTGGATTGGAAAGATCAACATCGTGAAAATGGCAATACTTCCCAAGGCTATCTACAAATTCAACGCAATACCTATCAAAATTCCAACCCCATTCTTCAAGGAAATAGAAGAGGCAATCCAAAAATTCATATGGAACAATAAAAGACCCCAAATAGCAAAAAACGCTCCTCAACGGAAAGAACACTGCTGGAGGAATATCAATACCAAATTTCAAACTCTATTATAAAGCCATAGTAATCAAAACAGCTTGGTATTGGCATAAGAACAGACCTCAGGACCAATGGAATAGAATTGAAAACCCAGAAATGAACCTACAGACCTATAGCCATCTAATCTTCGATAAGGGAGCTAAAACAATAGAATGGAAGAAAGACAGCCTCTTCAGTAAATGGTGCTGGCAAAATTGGTTAACTACATGTAGAAAACTAAAGCTAGATCCTTATATATCACCCTGCACCAGAATCAACTCCAAATGGATCAAAGACCTTGAACTCAAAGCAAACACTCTGAAAACATTACAGGATGGAATAGGAGAAACCCTAGGTCTCCTTGGCTCAGGCCGAAATTTTCTGAATAGAAACCCAGAAACAAATCAAAGAAAGGTTGGACAAATGGGATTGCATAAAGTTGCAGAGCTTCTGCAGGGCAAATGACATAGCTAGCAAGATCAATAGAAAGCCCACGGATTGGGAGAAGATCTTTACTAGCCATACAACAGACAAGGGTCTCATATCTAAAATTTACCTGAAACTCAAAAAATTAAACCCCCCAACAACAAATCCTCAAAGAAACAACTGCCCAATAAATAAGTGGGCTAAAGACTTAAAGAGAAACTTCTCTGAAGAAGAAAGAAGGATGGCCAATAGACACATGAAGAAATGTTCAACATCCCTAGCCATAAAAGAAATGCAAATCAAAACAACATTGAGATATCAGCTCACTCCAGTTAGAACAGCAAAAATCAAGAACTCTAACAACAACAGATGCTGGAGGGGATGTGGATAGAAGGGAACCTTACTGCATTGTTGGTGGGAATGTAAACTTGTTCAACCACTTTGGAAAGCAGTATGGAGGTTCCTCAAAAGACTCCACATAGAGCTCCCCTATGACCCAGCAATCCCACTTTTGGGCATTTACCCAAATGTTCACAAACAAGACCACACTAAAGCTACCAGCACAACTATGTTTATTGCAGCATTATTTACCATAGCTAAGATATGGAACCAACCCAGATGCCCCTCAATAGATGAATGGATCAAGAAAATGTGGTATATATACACAATGGAATTCTATGCCTCCATCAGAAAGAATGACATTGCCCCATTTGTTAGGAAATGGAAAAACTTGGAAAAAATTATATTAAGTGAAGTAAGCCAGGCCCAAAGAAACATAGGTCCCATGGTTTCCTTTATTTGCAATATCTAGTAGATGTATGAGTCAAGCGGAAAAGGTCAGATAATGTGATGTCAGTAAAATGAACCCTTAGATATGTATTTTAATGCTTTTTCTTTCATGCATTTGTTTCTAACGCATTTATAAGATTATCTCTTTGTTGCTTTGTATGTCCCTCCCCCACAGTATAACCCCTGCTTTCACTATATTTGATGTCAGTATAACTTGTGGAGGAGATGGGGAAAAACCAGTTGTTTAAGGATACAGGTTGGACCTGTTGCAACAATGAGAAGTACAAGTTGTCATGTCCAAAACGAGCTTTACAATGTCGGTGGGGGGGGGGGGGGGAGGTATGATTGGGTGGGGGGGAGGGGGGAGGCTGGGAAGGGATGTGAAGGGTAAACAAAGGAGGAGGCTGCAATGCTTGGTAAGAAATGTACGCATTATCCTGCCCATGTAATTGTAACCCCTCTGTACAGTATGTTCACAAATAAAATTAAATTTAAAAAAATATATAAATACTATAAATTTTCATTCTGTTGTTGAAAAGTATGTAAGGGAATTTTGTTGTTGTTGTTGTTGTTGTTTTTTGTCAGTCATGGGCCTGAACTCTGGGCCTGGGCGCTGTCCCTCAGCTCTTCAGCTCAAGGCTAGTGCTCTACCACTTGAGCCACAGCGCCACTTCCTGCTTTTTTCTTTTTGCTTCTGTGGTGCTGAGGAATTGAACCCAGGGCCTCATGCATGCAAGGCAAGCGCTCTACCACTGAGCCACCTTCCCAGCACCCTAACTTTTATTTTTTTAACCAAAGACTTAATTCATGGAATCAGGCTTTCTAAGCCAAGCTCTGTACTATTTGAGCTGTGTTCCAAGTTCTTTCATGTCTTCATTTGTTTTTCAAGTAGGCTCTCATGCTGACTTTGCTAACCTTGAAATGGGATCCTTCTGTCTCACCAACTCCTGAGTAGAGAGCTGTGATTACAGGTGTCTATCACCATGCCTGGCCGCAGTTACAATTATTAATATATGTTATATCTATATTTACAACTTGATGCGTGAGCTCATTTTTCTTATTAAAGAAATGGTTAGCCGCGCGCTGGTGGCTCACGCCTGTAGTCCTAGCTACTCAGGAGGCTGAGATCTGAGGATCGCGGTTCAAAGCCAGCCCGGGCAGGAGAGACCGTGAGACTTATCTCCAATAAACCACCAGAAAACCGGAAGTGGCGCTGTAGCTCAAGTGGTAGAGCGCTCGCCTTGAGCTGAAGAGCTGAGGGACAGCGCCCAGGCCCAGAGTTCAAGACCCACGGCCAACCAAAAAAAAAAAAAAAAAAGGTTAAAATATATACTAATTTTCACTTAGGAAGAGTTATAGCCTTTGTGTAAAATTTTAGAGCCATATTTGTACATGGTTGTGTTTATTTGTAAAAATCTATGCCCTACTCATAATTGGATTTTTCCCCCTCTTTGTGTGTGTGGGGGGGGGGGGGGAGGGGGTAGGGAGAGGAGCTCAGGGTTTGGGTACTTTGCGTAAGGTTAGCACTCTACCACTTTAAGCCACACGGCCACTTCCAGTTTTTGAGTAGTTACTTAGAGATGAGTCTCGGGACTTTTCTGCCTGGGCTGGCTTTGGACTGCAATCCTTAGTTCTCAGCCTCCTGAGAAGTTAGGATTACAGGCATGAGCCACTGGCACCTGGCTGCAATGGATGCTTTAAAAGTAATTTTTAGTAAGGATTTATTTTATTATAAAAGTAGATGGTACAGATGTCGGTGGCTCACACTTGTAATCCTAACTACTGAGGGGCTGATAGCTGTGGATCATAATTGGAAGCCAGTCTAGGCAGTAAAGTTCATGAAATTCTTATCTCCCAACTAGATACAACAAAAAACAAAGCTGTTGGGACTGCATGGGAGCTCTCTCTTTCACACACACACACAGAGTTAAATAGGGACAAATAAAGACTGGATGGCAACTGTTATCTGCTGTTTTTTCATTCTTTCTGAGCTGAGGCAGTACATGTGGCCATGTTGTGTAGCCATTAGACAGTGGGGCTATGTGGCCAAGAGGTGTATTTGATAATAAAATACAGGGGCTTACAAACTTCAAGAAATAACTTTTCTTTCTTTGGTTTCAGAGTCTCCACAACCTGTTGCCTTAGTTGGACATGATGATGACTGGAGACTGCAACAGCAAGATACCTCTAACTCCAATAATTCTAATGTCAAAACATTGTTTAATTGGCTCTCAGAAACACTTGCAAATGCGCATCTCTGACAGACACAGTGAACAAAGCCTTAGGATTGAGTACTGATGATGCCTATGAAGAAGAACTGAGACATGAGTATGAGTTAAACTGTGCGTCAGATAGGAAAGATTATGTGCAGTCAACTTGCGCAAAAATTGAAAATGTACATTTTAAGAATGCTCAGAGTCCACAGCTAGAAGTTGACACATCTTTACAGTTTCCTGTTACTATTTCTGCTGGTGAAATAGGCACTGACCATAAGCTGCATTTGATAGAAGTGAGCATGTTTTTTGGTTATCTTTGTTTACTTTTGCTAGAAAGTTTATATGTGAGAGGGAGGGAGGGAGGGAGGGTGTGTGCTTTGGGTTTTTTTGTTTGTTTTTGAAGAATTAAGAAGTACTTCGAAGATGTCTGTCCTGGAGGGTACTTATTCCTTGTTACCAAGAGATAAATGCTGAAGTAGTTGTTTTCCTTCCTGCTTATAGGCTTTATATGTAGTCTAAGGTTTCCCTGTTGTGATGAAAGTAAGGCTGGACAATGTTTGTCAAAAAAATGGCCTATTGGGAGTTAATTCATATTGTTTCATAATAAAATTGAGTCCTCAAAACTTTGGCCACTTTCTGCTAGCAGTAACAAAACTCAAAGGTGAAGCAGATGAAGCAACTGAACTCAGTGCACCAGTGTAACAAATAAGGTTAGGTACTTTGTATTTCTCATGCAAATAGGAATCCAATTTAATTATGGTGTGTGCTTAGAGTACTGATTTCTAGCTGAGAAACAGTCTTGTCTCCCTGAAGAAATGTCTGCATCAATTGAGAACAATACTAGATGGCACCATATTTCCTAAAGGATTATTCCTAAATTATTCTATTTTGAGTAAACGTCATATATATATATGGAGCCATTCTCCATGTAATTTTGAGATGTTTATTTTAGGGGTGAAATATTGAGAGGCTTATATGATGAGGAATATATAGTAGGCATTGGGATACTAATCTATATTATTAATACTTTCCAATATATTTAATACATAGTTGATAGGAGTGAGCTGACCACAGCTTGCTCTCTGTAACTATAAATTATGCCCATTCATTTTGGTATTGTTTGTGACTACCTTTACCCTACAATGACAAAATTTAGTCCTACAAAGCCCTAAATTACCTCTTGTCTGCTGCTGTATCTTTAAAGTTTAAGTAAAGGAGTAGTTACTCCTTTAATTCATTATCAAAGTAATGTTTGGGAAAGGGAAATAAAAGACTATATATATAATATATAGTTATTATATTGCTGTTAGTCTTTTGTAATACTTAAATTGAAGGTGGAATTTCCTGTGAAAAATAGTTGTCTGTTTTAATGACTTGAAAATAAAGCTATTGAATATGTACTTTAATTTTTAGGATGCAAATTTAATTAACGTCAATAATTTTGAAGAGTGCAGTTTGTGTCCCACTGTTCCCATCGAACATGGATTCCATAGACAACAGTCTAAGTCAAGTAATGTTGAAGAGACTGAAATACACTGGAAATTGATTCCCATTACAGGTAATGCAAGTATCCCAAGAGATACATTAAACCATTGGGCAAGAATAGTTTGGCAGATGTTTAAAGATTGTCATTTGCAAACATTGTAATTTCTCTGTGTACAACTACATGGTCTTACTACTCCCAAGTGCTTATTCATCTTTTTAAAATATTTTTGGAAATGCTTTCAAGACACAACTTTGCTATTCCTTTCTTTTTTTTAACTTTAGAAAGGAAATAGTGAGCAACTTATTGCTGAAAAATTGCCTTCTTGTGACTTACAACCTATGAAACCTCCAAAGGTTCTAAGAAGAAATTTCCAAGACTAGAGTTTCCATAGGCTTTTAAACACTTTCTCTACTTGGTACCTTGCTAGAAAGTTCAAGAAGCCTGGCCATGATAATCGTAAGGGAACCAGTCCTCTTTTCTGAGCTGCAGAAACCAGCTTGAGACACATAGAATAGAGAAGTTGATAGGTGATGATTATCCTAATAGTTCTGCATTTAAACACCTTAACTTGATGGTGAGAGTCTTTTGAAGCGGTACATCTAGGTGTTAGGCTGTCATCACCTGAAGGAAAAGGAAGCAACTTTCCATTTTTGAATAACTCTTAGGCAAAAGATAAAATGTTCTGATTTCTAAACATTTGGGGTTATCTGAAAGGTGCTTAAGAGGGGTCAATGAAGAGAGTCTACAAATAATGGGTACTTTTCTTCAGGAACAAATGCAAGAAGTCCAGAAGACAATCTGGGGAAACAAGATGAGAAACAAACACCAGGTGAGAAGGCTTTCTTTAAGTTCTGCTAAATACAAAGAATTTTGGACAGTATCATATTTATATTTCAATCATTAAATTGAATTACATCACATTCTTACTATGGAGTTTTTGGGGGAGTCACTGAATATTCATAGTTATTTTCTTCATTTACAATAGATAATGATTTGTAATGTCTTCCTAATGCATTTCTGAAAAATATCACATAAGAATCTCCGGAGACTGTATATAATATTTATTATATAATGTCCAGACAGTTTAAGACAATTCCATGCAGACAACTCTGGACATTATTTTCCTGCTAAAGAGTGGTGATATTTTTGTTTCCATTTTTTTGTAGCTTGTATCTTACAACAGAAATCTTAAGCATATGGGTGTTTTTTTGTTTGTTTGCTTGTTTTAGTTGAAACTGAAAACTAAATGATTTAGTCGATCCTACCCTTTTGGAATTTAAAAAAAGAAAAAAAATTAGCTCCTCCAGAAAATGATGATTTATAAAGTACAAAAATAATATAACAGGGCTGGGAAGGTGGCTCAGTGGTAGAGCGCTTGCCTTGCATTCCTGAGACCCTGGGTTCGATTCCTGAGTACCACATAAGAAAAAAGAAAAAAGCCGGAAGTGGCGCTGTGGCTCAAGTGGTAGAGTGCTAGCCTTGAGCTGAAGAGCTGAGGGACAGTGACCAGGCCCAGAGTTCAGGCCCCACGACCGGACCCAAAAAAAAAAAATAATATAACATACAGGAAAGTTTATACATTTTAGTATATATTTCATAGAAGCTTAACATCTGTATACACTGTGACCACCACCCAATATATATTTTCAGCACCCTAGATTTCCTTCTGTATCTTTCCAGTCTGTACTTCACCTGTTCAGAGCAGGTAAGCATTAATTAATTTCACTTACTTTACCACAGGTTTAGTTTTGCCTCTTGAACTTCAGACAAATGGAACCCACACAAGTCCTTGTGTGTTTGATTCTTTACCTCAGTCTTCTATTAGGGTTTCACGCATGCTATCTATCAGTAATTCTTTCTCATTAGGAACCATGGGTATGCTTCAATATGCTCTGTAGGTATTGTACATTCTGCTTATTTGAGATACTGTAGTCATACTTTATAACTGCAAGTACAAATAGCTCAATAATGTCACCTTTAGAGAACTCACAACTTCCCTTAAGTCTTATAAGTCTTTTGGCTTAAAAGTCAAAATACTGAGCCAGGCACTGGTGGCTCATGCTTGTATTTCTCGCTAGTGTTGATAGCCTGGATAATGTTAAAAATCATACATACAATGAATTATTTGTATCTGGAGGTTTTGTTGTATCTGATGAATCAATTCTAAATCCAGAAGTTGTCACAATTGGTAAGATTGCTCTTTTTGGATTGCATTGCCTCTTCCATTTTTTCTAGTTTTTCTTTTACTGATTTTTGTTGTTGTTGTTGTTGTTTTTGGGTCCGGTCGTGGGCCTGAACTCTGGGCCTGGGCGCTGTCCCTCAGCTCTTCAGCTCAAGGCTAGCACTCTACCACTTGAGCCACAGCGCCACTTCCGGCTAAATTTCTAAAATATTTCTAAAATAAATGCTATAAATAAATAAATATAAATAAATAAATAAATATAAATAAATAAATGCTATTTCTAAAATAAATGCTATAAAAAATAGCCTAAATGCAATTTTTGATATTTAGTAAAAGTGAAGAGTTAGTTATTTATTCTGGTGCCCATATTAGGGCTTGAACTCGGGGCCTTGTTCTCTCACTTGGCTTTTTCACTCAAGGTTGTCTCTGAACTGAAATCCTTACATCTTAGCTGTCTGTAAGGCATGAGCCACCAGCTCTTGGCTAAATTTTTAGTAGTTCTATTAACCTCAAGAGTTCGTGAAAGACAACAGCTTAAACAGCAACTCCAGACTTTATGGTAAGTAGAAAGTATCTATAGGATTTTTAAATGACCAGACTGAAGCAACAGAAAAAAAAGTTTACTAGGTGTTTTCCAAATTTTATTTTATTTACAAAAAGTCTTTTATTAACTTTTTTAAAAATCACAGCATTTTACTACATAATGTGCATGTTTTACATGAGTTTTTAAAAAAGAAATCTAATTAGGCTATTAAAAAATAGTTGAGTGATGAGCACTGTTGAGAAGACAAAAATGACTTCCAACATTTAAAATGAAGAACTAAAACTCTCTTCTTGATTTGTAGCTAAAGACATGAAATTAGTTTCCAACTCCTTTTGCTTTTGAAGAAGTCCCTGAAAAAAAAAATGAAACATGCATTGTTTAGCTCTGCTAAAGTAAGCGTCGGCACTATATTGGTGGGTATATGTACCTCATACTCCTTCCTCTATACTTTAGGAGTTAATTCATAGGTACATTTAAGGTACTTCACAAAGTCAAATGAGTAAAACCAGAAGTAAAGTATGGAATGATTTTCTAGTTTTAGAAAGGGAAAGAATGGGTAACACATGACCAACTTCTTAAAATAAATGGTGTGGAGGGGGGGGGAGATGTTAACACACTAGAATATGACTGGACTCTTAAAAAAAAGTTTATTTAAAAAAACCCAACTTGGAACTAAAGTCCAGTTATAAGCTTCAAAGATGGCGTAAAGTTACTATAATCTTAAATATTAGATATTAACCTGTTTAACGAGAGAGCATGGCCATCATAATTGGTGTGGGAAAATGTCCAGTGAGCCTATTAAACCCAATCATTTCATATTGAACTATGTTCTTTGGGAGAGACAACACTGTTTTAAGCTGAAAACACATATATTTTGTCTTTGGTTTTAGGGCCTTATTGATCATGTTTGGATGTTTAAATGTACACATTTCTTAATAATAAAATTATCTCAGTATAATGACTGTCTCATGATTTCATACTAAAAAAATTTTTGAGACAGGGTCTTTGAATTTGTGATCCTCCTTGCCTCTTAGGTGCTGCATGTATAACCATCACACCAAAAAATATTTGTAAAGATGGAAAGGAAATCCAAAGTCCCTTTTTATTTGAGATTAACTAGAGAAGCTAAAATGCAATTAGCCATGCAAATTTCCCTAATGTCACATCCACATGTAAAGAACACACACATCTATATATTCTTATTTTTATTTTTTGTTTTAAATCTCATACCTGTCGTAGTTCTGAAAGTCCTTTAAGAATTGCTTGTTGTCGATCCCTGTTCTTTACCAAGTTAGGATTAAGAAGTGGATCCCTGACAGAACCAAGAGCAAGTCCTTGCTCTTGGTTGCAATCTGAAACCAGACAAAATTTATAAAAGCCAAATATATTTCTAAATAGTTTGCTGTAAGATTCATTAGTAAATTTATTTCCTAGAAAGCTTCACATACATACTCTAAAAGTCTTAAAGATTTATAAAGTGCAGCTGAGATGCTTTGTAGAACTAGAGGTAGAAATTCTTTAGAAGTGAATTTAGGGTTGGGGGTTCCTAGATCTACAATATGTAGTTTACTTGCCATGATCAGTCGAAGGCCTAGACAAGGGTGCATCTGGATCCAGGTAATATATCTCATTTGTTCGAACATAAGGAATAAAATGGGATGGTTCAAACACTCCAGGTGTTTCACCATCTTCTGACACTGTTTCTCTTTTGAGGCTATTTTTTAGTGGTGAGTGTAAGCTATCCGTCTGAGTTTGTTGGGTTCTGTTTTTTATTGCTGGAACTGGTGATGACTGGAACCTTTAAAAAAAAAAAAAAAGCACAACAGAACAAAAAGCTTGAATAAGAAATTTTGTTTTAAAATAAATATATCTCTTTAATTAACTACATCTCCAATAATTTGAAATGTAATTACACCTTTAGGAATATCATGTAAGGAAGCCTAAAGTCTAAAAGTTTCATTTATGAAACAAGGCAAAAAAAGGGTGTTCCCTGGAATTTTTACTAGCTACATGTATGTACTCAATACAAAGGGAGAATAAAATTACTATTCTATCTGGGCTAACAAGTCTCATTTCTCCTTAGATAATTTTTCATAAATTAATATCCTCACCACCTGAACTAAGCCCAATATGAGGCAACTCTAAACCAGCTGGCTTATGCACGCACAAAAGACAGATTAAGAAGAAAAAGTTACTATCTTTCCTACTTCTTCCTGATTCAATCCAAGCATAATGCCTGTTTCACTGGTCATACTGAGATAAGTAAAAACTGTTTAGCTAAATCTGAAGATAGGAGAATGTCATCCATATATTTTTTTTTTTTTTGGTCCGGTTGTGGGGCATGAACTCTAGGCCTGGACGCTGTCCCTCAGCTCTTCAGCTCAAAGCTAGCTCTCTACCACTGAGCTACCTTCCCAGCCCCAGCCATAGGTTTTTCTTAATCCCAGTCCAGCCAAAACCTATCCCTTAAACTACTAACCTTTTATCCCTTAAACTACTAACCTTCATCTGGTAACTACTCCTTTCACATTTTTATCTTCACCTTTATGCCTAACCTTAGTAGACATGGAGCATGTGTTCTGTACCTCTTCAGAATCAAACATAAAGTGAATATACCTATAAAAGTAATGCACATACCTTTCTTCACTGATTGAATTAATTTTCATAGTTTCTTCTTCCTAAAAGGATATGTAAGTATAGAGAAGAGTATATAGCATTTTCAAGTGAAACCATGTACTTATGTTACTTAAAATCTATTTCTTTTTTTTTTTAATTTAATTTTATTTTATTTGTGAACATACTGTACAGAGGGGTTACAATGACATGGGCAGGATAATGCGTACATTTCTTACCAAGCATTGCAGCCTCCTCCTTTGTTTACCCTTCACATCCCTTCCCAGCCTCCCCCCTCCCCCGCAATCCCAATCCTTCTCCTTCCCCCCAATTCCCCCCTTAAAATCTATTTCTAATGTTGGTCAGAAAGGTATTTTTTCACAGTCAAACAAATAAAAAAATTCCTTAACTTCCAACTGATTACTTATATGGACTATAAACAAGGATTTTTTCTCTTTTTTTTGGGTCCGGTCGTGGGGCCTAAACTCTGGGCCTGGGCGCTGTCCCTCAGCTCTTCAGCTCAAGGCTAGCACTCTACCACTTGAGCCATAGCACCACTTCCGGCTTTTTTCTTTTTGGCTATGTGGTACTGAGGAATCGAACCCAGGGCATCACAAATGCAAGGCAAGCACTCTACCACTGTGCCGCCTTCCCAGCCCTGCAGTCTGGCTTTGAACTCCTAATCCTGCCTCAGCCTCCCAAGTGCTGAAACAAATTACAGATGTATACTACCATATCTGGCTAAAACAGGTTTCTTGAAGTCTAAATGTTTGCTTATGATGGTTCTGGGTATTGAACTTAGAGCCTAAAGCTTGCTAGCCAAGTGCTCACTCTACCCTACACTCTACCTCACACCAGCCCTTTTGCTTTTTACCTTATCAGATAGGGTTTTATTTCTACCTAGATACTCTCAGACTGTGAACTCCTTACTACTATCTGCATGTAGCTGGCAGGCACCAAGCACAGCTTGCTTTTGAGATTTTTTTTTTTTGGGGGGGGGGGGGAGGCGGGTCGTGGGGCCTGAACTCTGGGCCTGGGAGCTGTCCCTCAGCTCTTCAGCTCAAGGCTAGCACTACCACTTGAGCCACAGGGCCACTTCTGGCTTTATTTTTTCTGCTTATGTGGTGCTGAGGAATCGAACCCAGGGCCTCCTACACGCAAGGCAAGCGCTCTACCACTGAACCAACTTCCCAGCTCGCTTTTGAGATTCTTTTAAGGGACAAGTAAATAAAATGTCAGCGTTTACAGCCATACATGGTGTCTTGCAGCATAAAGTCACTTACAAAAAGATTATTAAAACAAGTATGGTTGTGTTCCTATAAGCCTTTATTTACAAAAAACAGCAGACTGATTTGCTAATAGAATCTAGTTTGCTAACCCCTAACATAAAATTTTGGAACTCATTTAGACAAACAAGAACTCTATCAAAACATGCATGTCTATAGAGAATTGTGAGATTTTCGTTTGTTTTGTGGTTTTTTTTGCCAGTCCTGGGGCTTAAACTAGGGCCTGGGCACTGTCCCTGAGCTGCTTTTGCTCAAGGCTAGCACTCTACTACACTCTGCTACTCTACTACACAGCACCACTTGTGGCTTTTTCTGTGGTACTGAGGAATCAAACCCAGGGCTACATGCATGCTAGGCAAGCACTCTACCATCAAGCCACATTCCCAGCTGAGATTTGTGTTTTGAGTTTAGAAATTCATGCATGTTTAAAAATGAGAAAGAGCTTTACCTTGTTCATTAAATGCCACCTGGTTTTTGACTCTGTTTCTGGATAGGATGAATGAAAATCTTCTGGCGAAGTGCCTCTATTTTGAGAAAGGTGTTCAGAATTATTTTTCTCTACCAATTGAAGCAGTTCCATCTGTCTTCTTACTTTTTTTTCTTCTCTCTGCTTTTGAAGCTGTTTAGGGTACTTTTCTGATGCTGGAACATACCTTTTGAGAGGCTTATTTCTATTCCAAGTCGGCCTTGTGGGACATTTCTTCATGAGTTTTGTTTGTTTCTCTGTTATAGACTGTTTACATTGCTCATTAAACCAGCAATTTTCTTTTTCTAAGTTGCCTACTCTATCCTGATTTAGTTCTTGTTTGTCTTTCTTAGTGTTAAGCTGTCCATCAAATTCTACAGAACTCTGGGGAGAAGAACAAGGTGTATTTTCCCTTTCTATCACTGATCCACAGTGTGATAATGTGTTAGTGAAATTTCTTGTAATTAAGTCATCTAAAAAAAAAAAGATGATGACTTTTTAAACAGACATATAAAAGTTTACCACTTCTATCATTTTTCTCAAATGTTAAACAATTTTATTAGTTACACTTTAAGACTTCTAATGTTAAAACTGAAACTACCCAACCTCTCATTATTCTAGACATTTACTACTATAGATAATACCCCAGTAAATGGAGTTATATTGTTTTGTAAATGGCTTAAACACTTGCCATAACATTTAGTCAATGGCATGTATCAACTTCTTACTAAAGCCAATTCCACTATATAGTATATACAACTTTTTACTACCATAATCATTCAGGCTATGAATACACTGTCTTTGAGGCCTTACTTAATCTTTTTTCTTGTGCTAGTACTGAGGCTTGAAATCAGGGTTTTATGTCCCTGCTTGGCCTTTTTGTTCAAAGATGGCACTCTACTACTTCAACCACATTTCCACTTTTAGTTTTTTGCTGGTTAACTGGAGATAAAAGAGTCCTGGGGACTTGTCTGTCCAGGCTGGCTTTGAACTACTGTATTCCAGTCTCAGCCTCCCAAATATTTAAGATTACAGGGCATGGGCCACCAAGGGGAGTGGGGAGGGGGGAAAAAACCCACTGACTTCCAACCCAAGACATTGCCTGATGATTTGAATTGAAAACCAGACATGAAAAGATGCTCATAAAATACAATTGGTGGGGAAATACAATGCAGAACCACTTAATATGCCCCCCATATAACAAGTGTTGGCAATCACAAGGAGAAATTAGAACCCTATTATATTGATGGCTGGATAACTGCTTTGGAGTCTGGACAGTTTGGAAGAATTATCACATGATCCAGAAATTCTGTTTTTCTTTTTTCACAAAATCTGTACATGAATGGTCAAAGCAACGTTATTCACAATAGCCCAAGAGTACAAATGAACGTCCATCAAATCATGAAGAACAAAATGTATTATATATACAACAGAATACTATTCAGGAATAATGTACTTACTGCCATTATCCTAAAGCAGAGTAGCCAGACACAAAGGAACATTTTGATTCTAGTAACATGAAATGTGCAGAACAAGCAAACCAGAAAATGAAGAGACTCCCCTGCTAACTTAATGGGTTAGTAGATCAGAGTGAGGGAAAAGTTCTATAATGATGGTGACTGCTCAATTATTAGGAATATACTGAAAAATGCTAACTATGTCCATTAAAGGGTAAGTTTTGTGTAGGAGCTGTAGCTCAATGGTAAACCATTTGCTAAACCTGTAAGGTCCTGGGCGGGGGTGAGGGTGGTAAATTTGTGATTCATATCTGAAATAAATCTAGTACAAAAAATTAAATACCAAGAGATGCATTGGGGCTTACTCTTATATATAATCATAGCTACTCAGGATGCCGTGATACCTGGAGGATCACGGCTCAAAGGCAACTGGGGCAGAAAAGTCTGTATAAGACTCCTTATCTCCAGTTAACAAGCAAAAGGGTATGGTTGGGAGTTCAAGCCAGTATCATTGAAAAAAAAATAGATCTTTTTATTTTCTCATAAATCACAAGTTTTACACTTGAAATGGAACTCAGTACTAATGCTTTGGCCTTAAGGAAATTTCAAATAAAAATTTCAATATGAATACCTGTTTGCACACCAGTATCTTTCTTGGGAGAAATAGTAGAACTGATACATGTATTTATTTTGCTGCCATCTTCATCAGAGTCATGTCTTGAACTTGAAATCTTAGGGGACACCTTATCATCCACTTGCATTGCATCTACTGGCAATAGGAAAAAATATTTTTCAAATGATATACAGTATTATTAAGAGAAACTATGTGTAGGAGACTGGGATTGTAGCTTAGTGGTGGTACTTGCCTACCTTGCAAGACTAGGTCTGATTCAGTAGTGAAAAAAAAGTAAATACATACAGTAACTAAACACAGGACTTTACTCAGAATGATTGCTGCAATAAAAATTTCATTAAAAAGTTCTTGCGTTCTTACCCATTACTGGATTTACAGAGATCACTCAGTAACTGTTTTCTTTCTTTCTTTCTTTCTTTATTTTTGCCGGTCGTGGGGCCTGAACTCTGGGCCTGGGCGCTGTCCCTCAGCTCTTCAGCTCAAGGCTAGCGCTCTACCACTTTGAGCCACAGCGCCACTTCCAGCTTTTTCTGCTTATGTGGTGCTGAGGAATGGAACCCAGGGCCTCATGCAAGCAAGGCAAGCTCTCTACCACTGAGCCACTTTCCCAGCCACTCAGTAAATGCTTTCTTTGTAAAAATGCATACAAATTTATTTTATCAGTGTCATGATTGCTATAGACAATATGTAAGAAAAACTTATGTGTAAAAAGATACTGAAAACTTACTTAACTCTACTTCTAAGATAATTTCCTAAAAGCACTACTATTTACTAAAGTTAGATTAGCTGAAGAGCTGAAGTTTCTTAAAAATTGTTTATTGTATGATAATGTTAGAAATCGACAAGTAGTTAAAATCATCTTCAAAAATTATGAAGTTCTGGGCTGGGAAGGTGGCTCAATGGTAGAGTGCTTGCCTTGCATGCCTGAGGCCCTGGGTTCGATTCCTCAGCACCACATAAGCAAAAAGAAAAAAGCTGGAAGTGGCGCTGTGGTTCAAGTGGTAGAGCACTAGCCTTGAGCTGAAGAGCTGAGGGACAGCGCCCAGGCCCAGAGTTCAGGCCCCATGACTGGACACACACACACACACAAAAAAAAATGAAGTTCTGGTTAATCACTTACCATCAAGATTTTTCATCAATCTAGAAGTATCATGTCCTTTTTGAGCCAATTCTTGGATTCGCTGTTCTTGTTTCAGTCTCTGTGCTAACTCCTGTGCTCTCTGCATTTTTTGGTATAGCTCATTTGTCTTGAGAGTCATGATTTCCTACCAACATAGTCAGGTATATGGTTATTAAATTGACTACTCCCAGCATTTCCTAAGCTTTCCTGGATGTCAGGCACTTGTCTGGGTCATTGTGATTATCATAAATATTCAAAGAATACAGTATTTATGGACTTTATGTGCTATCACATAAACGTTGCAGCCTTAGATGACTTAAGTCAATGAAATGGGAACCTACACCACATGTCCCTTTACCAGCCAATATTCATTGTGTGCCAAGTGGGAAAAGATAAGAAACTATTGTATTGCTAAACTTTTAGTCTTTGGAAACTGAATGCCACTATATGATTGCTCTTTGTGAGTTGGCTCAATCATGGCACCTGACAACACTCTACTTCCTGTATCTAAATCATTTAATAGAAAAGCTCTCCTAGCTATTGAGATACTCTCGTTGAATTGGCTCTTATTTTAGCAAAAGGACTACTAATACAGCCACCGATTGTTTCATCAATCCCAACCATTTTGCAAAAGGAGCTTCTTTTTTCATTGGTAGATAAGGATAGAAATGCCCATCGTTTCTATACAGAATTACATTATAATCATGGTTTACAAATGAAGTCTACACACCTCTAATATGTAGGAGATAACAATCACATATATGGATGACTAGCATTATGCTATAATTCATCTTGACCTCCTCCATTTGCACAAAGGCCAGTCAATACAGCTTTTGAGAACTTTATCATGTGAAAAAATAAAACATTTTTAAGAGTCTCTCTTATTTTCCCAATTTTTTATTCAAAATTTTAATGCCTCCACTTGTATTTTACCACTTCAAAATACAACTTGAAGTGCTGGATGTGGCTCATGCCTGTAATCCTACCTACTGAAAAAGCTGAAATCTTAGCATCCTGGTTCAAAGCCAGCCTGGGGAAAAAAGACTCCTCTCCAATTAACCAGCAAAAAGCTGGAAATAGAGGTGTGGCTTAAGAGGTAGAGTGCCAGACTTAAGGGAAAAAGCCAAGAAAGCAAGAGGTCCTGAAATCAAGTGTCAGTAACTTCAAAGTTATTATTCCTCTGAAAACATATACTATTAATTCTAAAATGCTAACAGTTAAATGTAAATACCCACTTCCTTTTGTTTTTGCTTAAGGATATCCTCTTCATACTGTTTCTGCATCTTTTCTCGTTCCCGTGATAAGCGTTGCTCTTCTTCTTGTTCTTCCTTCCTTCTTTGTTCTTCTTCTAGTTGTTTTTTTCTGCGCTTTTCTTCTACCTGCTCAGTGATTGCTTTCTAGTCATAAATAATTCAGAAATCATTGTCACAAAAATCAGAGGAGCATTTGCTTTGGTGATGAAAATAGATCTGTTTTATCAGTACTTAAAATGACAAAATTGTAATTCATTTGGTTTATTTGTCCAGTGAAACGCTACATTGCTTTTTTTTTTGTTGTTGTTTTTCCCCTTCAATTCCACCATGGCCATTAGAAGAACGGATAGAAAAATAAGTGAATGAAACTTAGGGTATGGCTCAGTCATAGAGCACTTACCTATCATACACAATAAACTCTAGACTTGATCCCAAGCACAAGGGGGAAAAAAGAAAAGCAACTGAAAAAATAATCTCAATACTTTAAAGACTGCTTGATAAATAACAGAGCCTCTAATTTTTTTTTTAAATAGGTGGTACTGTCTTTGAATTGAGGGCTTTGTGATTTGCTTGGCAGGTACTCTACTGAGCCATGGCTGCAGACCTTTTTTTGTCCTGGTTATTTTGAGACAGGGTCTTACCATGATTGTCTTACTACTTTATGCTTCCCACAATAACTAGGATGACAAGTGCACATCACCATGCTCAGCCTCTTCCACTGAGATGGAATTTCACAACCTGATTTGTCTTTGGCCTAGGCTGGCTTTGAAATGTGATCCTTTTGATCTAAGCCTCCAAAATAGCTAGGATTGCAAGCATGAGCCACCATGTCCAACTAGATGTTCCAAACTAACTCTACCAAATTATTCATGCATTAAAGTGCTTAAAGAATTATGCAGTTTAGTAGAGTGTTGAACACCTACTACCTGGTCTCTAGTCCCAGCCATTCAGGAGATTGAGATGGGAAGATGATCTGAGCCCATGAGTTAGGAGCTTAGGAAAAAAAAGACTGGGGATATAAAAAAAGAACTACCACAAAAGATTATTAAGTCCCTTTAATATTAAACTAAATTAGGAGTTTTAACATCTTAATATCTGCTAAAGTTCTTCAACAAAATTGTATGTCAATCCCCATATTGTTCCCTCTTAAGAATTATCAGCCTAAACAGAACTCTTGGGAAATAAACTGATGAAAAAAATAACCAATACTAACCTAAAGACAGTACAAATTCATATACAGAACTTACAAGTTAAAGGCTATTGGAGAGTAATGGTAGGAATACTAACAATGCAGTGTGGATAGGAATTAGCTTTAGCATAGAATGGAACAGGACCTTTGCATATAAGCTTATACCAAAATTATAATTTCCATTTACTTAAGTGTATGTAGATGTTGACCATTACTAAGGCAAAAACTTTTTACAATGTAATACCTGATGTTCTAGCTGTTTTTGTCGCCGCCTGTTCCTTTCCTCAATCTGTGCTGGGTCCAAGAGAGCAGTCATAGAACGGAGAAAGCTGACAATATATATAAATTAGCTGTTTAAAACAATAAGGTAGGCTCAACAAAATAAACCATTTCTGCTTGAGATATATCAATCATTTCTATTTCACACAAAAATACTAATATAAAACCAATTAGACATACTACTATTAAACACACTTTTTTTTTTTGTCGGTTGTGGAGCTTGAACTCTGGGCCTGGGCACTGTCCCTCAGCTCTTCAGCTCAAGGCTAGCATTCTACCACTTGAGGCACAGTGCCACTTCCGGCTCTTTTTTTTTTTCCTGCTTATGTGGTGCTGAGGAATAGAACCCAGAGCCTCATGCATGCATGCAAGGCAAGCACTCTACCACTGAGCCAACTTCCCAGTCCCCAAAACACACTTTCTGAAATCAATAAATACTAAAGAATGAACTTACTTTGTTTTCTGACTGTTTGCCACAGCCACATCGCTAACAGGTTTTACTATATGCTCTTCCTCTGAAGATTCAATCTGACTTCCAGGAGTAAGAGTATATTCACTGCTGATATCAGCCAGATCCCGAGTGTCAGGGGAGACACAGAAGTACTCCGGGTGTTTTGGTGTGAACTGAGAGGACAGCCGAGACTGAGAACCAGGATGATTCTTTAATGAATCAAAATTCATTGCCCATCTGTCATGTTCCTGACTCTGATGGTGAGAAATAAGAACTAAGAATTTTTCCAATTATTCCAATGAAAAATCCCAAATTTACAAATCAATATGATTTCTAAAAGTTACCACTGAGCTAATAAAGCCTCATAAACACAAGATTATACTGGTTTGATTCCTCATATATTTGGATACATAGCTTGGAAAAACTGAAGAATTTAAACATTTGGGAAATTCTAAAAACTTAAAAAACAGTAAGTTTTTATGGGCAAATGTGGAGTACTTTGTCTTAATAGGCAGTTTCAGAATACTTTGAAGTTTATATGTTAAAGTCTTGAATTTTTTTTCTTTAGCTATAAAGTCTCCTTAGGTTACCTTTGAATTTTCCTCTGTTTTCTTTTGCCAGTCATCTTGTGTTTTTTTATTTAAATCTTCAGTCCATATTCTCTGTTCTTGTCTCACAGCACTGAAAGGATGTTCCAGCAGCACAGTTTCCTAAACAGCAATCATCAAACTACCCATAAAGTTCAATTCTCTTTTTTCTAACTACTTTATAATTAGAAATCTTGCCAAAGTTATTCAGACAAATTTAACACAAAAAAGGAATTTATCTCTAGGAGAAGCAGTATGTCAAAAAAAGAACTCAATTATATTATTGATAGGTACATTCTCATCCTTGGAAACATTTTAAACATACTAATATATATACTCCTACTGCCAGAAAAGAAAATTGTCATTTATTTCTCTACTTAAAGCAGTTTAGCTGGATGCCAGTGACTCACATCTATAATCCTAGCTGCTCTGGAGGCTGAGATCTAATGATCACAGTTCATAACCAGCACGGGCAGTAAAGTCCAAGAGATTCTTACCACCGGCAGTTAATCACTAACAAGACAAAAACAGAGGTGTGGTTCAAGTGATAGAAGTGCTAGCCTTGAGTGAAAAAGCTACCAGCACACAGGCTCTGAAATTAAGCCCCAGTGCCAGCATACATACGCAAAAATTTAGTAAAAGGCATTTGATGTGAGGTTCTGAATTGGGATTTTAGTGCCGGATTCAATTTTTTTAATAAAGTACTCAGACACTGTGCTCTTTCTCTTGCATTGACCCTTAGCTTTTCCATTCAAGGCTTGTGCTCTATCACTTAAGCCACTTCTGGTTTTCTGCTGGTTAACTGGAGATAAAGAACCAAGATTGGTCTGTGTAGGGCTGGCTTCTCAGATATTAGCCTCCTGAAAAGCTAGGATTGATTCCAAGTATAATCCACCAGTACCTAGCTAACCTCTTATTAACAATCATGGTATGGTTCACCCCCAGATAAAGCATGACCTATAAAGCCATTCAAATTAATCATTAATAAATGACATACTGTCAGGCACTGGTTACTCATGCCTTTAATTCTTTTTTTTTTTTGGTTGGTCGTGGGGCTTGAACTCTGGGCTTGGGTGCTGTCCCTGCACTCTTCAGCTCAAGGTGAGCTCTCTACTGCTTGAGGCACAGAGCCACTTCCAGTTTTCTAGTGGTTTATTGGAGATAAGAGTCTCACAGACTTTCCTGCCTGGGCTGGCTTTGAACCGTGATCCTCAGATCTCAGCCTCCTGAGTAGCTAGGATTACAGGCGTGAGCAACCGGTGCCTGGCTTCATGCCTTTAATTCTAATACTCAGAAAGCTGACAAATCTGCAAGACTCTAATCTCTAATTAACCAACAAAGAACTGAAGTAGAAGTGTGGCTCAAATGATAGAGAACCAGCTGTGACTAAAAAAGACAAATGAGAGCTCAAAGTCGAGAGTTCAAACCCAGTACCAGAAATACCACCAAGATCTGTAGACTTTTTCTGTAGATTTTTTGTGAGACTAATTTATTCCTTTTAACAATACGTAAAAGTGCTTTAGAGATGGTAGAAAAATACAATTTACATTTTATCTTCTTTTTTGTTAACATAAATTTTTAACATACTATAAAAATGATTAAGAACCAGTCAGCCCTACATGGTAAAGAATAGAATATCTTATGGAATCCCTCCTAGCTAAGTGGCCATGGGGCTGAAAAGTTTCACCACCAGAATCACTTCTTTAGTTTACACTATTATTTTCACTGGGTAATATAAATGTTCACAAGAAGGGATTATGCAAGTTAAAAAATGGTCGAGGAGGGCTGGGAAGGTGGCTCAGTGGTAGAGCGCTTGCCTTGCATGCTCGAGGCCCTGGGTTCGATTCCTCAGCACCATATAAGCAAAAAGAAAAAGAAAAGCCGGAAGTGGCGCTGTGGCTCAAGTGGTAGAGTGCCAGTCTTGAGCTGAACAGCTGATTGACAGTGCCCTAGCCCAGCGTTCAGGCCCACGACTAGACCCCCCCCCCAAAAAAAAGGTCTAAAACTTCTTTTATAAGAAGCTATATAATACATTCAGCAAAAATTAATTGGTAATTAATGGGGCTGGGAAGGTGGCTCAGTGGTAGAGTGCTTGCCTTGCATGCATGAGGCCCTGGGTTCGATTCTTGAGCACCACATAAGCAGAAAAAGCCGGAAGTGGGGCTGAGGTTCAAGTGGTAGAGCACTAATTGACAGCTGAAGAGCTGAGGGACAGTGCCCGGGCCCAGAGTTCAGGTCCCATGACCAACCAAAATAAATAAATAAATAATTTGGTAATTAAAAATCAAAGAGACTCCTTAAAGGCAAATAGGTTACATAGAAATAAGTAATAAAGGGTTTAAATATTGACACTGGGACTTAACCTCTAAAACCTGGCTATCTGTAAGTAGTAAATATCCATCAGCCATTGTAACCTGACAAGGAGACTGTGACAAAACATTTGAAGAGTCAGCAGAAGTCAAGAAAGGAAGGAAAGAAGGCAGGGAGGAAGGGAGGGAGAGAAAAGAAGAAAGGAAAAGAAAGAAGGAAAAGAAAGGAAAGAAAGAGAGAGAGAGAAAGACAGAAAGAAAGAAAGGAAGGAAGGAAGGAAGGAAGGAAGGAAGGAAGGAAGGAAGGAATGGAAGGAAGGAAGGAAGGAAGGAAACAAAGGCACTTTGAACATATCCTAGGTGTTCATGGGCATGGCCTGCTGTTTACAATCCCTAGTACTGTCACACAAAAATAAACTAAATACAAAACAAAACACATAAGGGCACATTTATGTTGACATGGAAACAGGGTTTTGTGGTTCATAGGTATCACAGGATTAGTGTCCAATTTCTGTGGCATTTAAAAATACCTCCTATATTTATAGGAGCCTAAATGAGGTTGAGCCTCCAAACTAGTTTAGTTCATAATTAAACTCAACTATTATAAAAATTACACAAAGTTAAGACAAGTGCTAGTGGCTCATGCTTATAATCCTAGCTACTTGAGCTGTGCCTCACTGATAAAGCACCAGCCTTGAGCCTCAGAACCCAGGACCTGAGTTCAAGCTCCGGTAATAACACACACACACACACACGCACACACACACGCACGCACGCACGCACGCACGCACGCACGCACGCACACACGCACACACACACACACTCCCAAAAAACAAAAACTTAATTAAGGTGTCTTATGCTAACATGTATTGTGTTAAGACATAATCAAAACTCTTACCCTAGACTGGTTAAGAATTTGAAGTTTTTCCAACATTATTTTATCATTCTCAGATTTTTTCCAAGGATTATTCCATTTTTCAGAAGCTTCTTTTTCTTTCTTCTTTAAGGCAACCTGTTCATCTATAAATAATGTCCTTTTTTAAAAATAATATACAAAGACTGTAAAGAAAGAATCATGTAAACAAATCATGACCTTAAAGAATGCAGATTGCCAACTGAGTTCATAAAAATTGATTTCAATGTAATACAGTATTTAAACAGAATTGAGAGAAAATTGCTTTGTGTTTTTAAAAGATACAAAAAAAACTTCTACAAAATTTAACACCATTTAATAATTAAAAAGCTCTGAAGTAGAAAGGAATGTACCTTAACATAATAAAGGCTATCTATAACAAACCCATCATACTTCTAAACATCATTTCCTCTAAAGCCAGGCACAGGTGGCTCATGCCTATAATCCTAGCTATCTCAGGGGCTGAGATCAGCAAGACTGAGGTTCAAGGCCAGTCTGAGTAGAAAGAAGTTCACAAGAGTTCTTGTCAACAATTAGCTAGGTGATGAGGTATACGCCTCTCATCCTAGGTACATCAGAGGATTGTGGTTTAGAAGAGTCAAAGACTCCCTCTTCAATGGAAGAACCTGGATATGGTGGTATACAGTTATCATGTCAACCACTTTGTGAAGTGTAAAACACGCAGGTCGTGGTCTAGGCAGGTGACCAAGTAGGAAGTAAGACCTACTTCAAAAATAGCCAATGTGAGCTGGATGCTGGTGGCTCATGCCTATAGTCCTAGCTACTTGAGAAGCTGGGAGCAAGAGGACTACAGCTGAAGGCCAACAGGGCAAAAATGTTTACAAGACTCCTCAACATATCTGGGCACACTGGCACATACCTATTAACCCAAGACACATGGGAGGCTGAGACTGGAAGGATTATAGTGCCTGGCCAGCCTGTACAGAAAAATTTGTGATACACAGGAAGCTGGATGTGGTGGTATACATCCTGTGATCCCAACAAAGACACAAAGTCAATAGAGTATGTGGATCATAGTTCAGGGAACTGCCTAGGTGGGAGGCAAAACCTGATGCTAAAAATAACTCATGAGAAACAGGGCTGGTAACATGATTCACTGCTATCTCACCAGCCTGTCAAGTATGAGGCTCTGAGTTCAAATCCCAATCTCATCAAGAAAGTAAGAATATATAACCAGGGAAAAATAGGGCTAGATATATGGCTCAGCAGCACAGCCCCTGAACTAGAGTTCAAACCTTAGTATTTCCAGAAAAAAAAAAAACCATTTGAATCTAATAAAATCATTTTTGGCAATGTAGCAGGATAAAAAAAAAAAAAAGTGACATGCCAAAACAGTAATAAACAAGACTAGGAAAGAAATCAGGAAGACAATTTTATTTACGATACCCTCAGAACATAAACAACCCTAGAAATAAACTTAGCTAAGGAAGTAAAAGACCTCTATAGTGAAAACTATAAAACCTTTTAGAAAACAAAGAAGATGCCAGAAGATAGAATTTCCCATGCTCATTGATTGAGAGAATTGCCATTGTGGAAAATGGTAATATTACAGAAAGCAATCTATAGATTCAATGTAATTCCCATGAAAATCCCAATATCATTCTTTATAAAAATAGAAAAATAGGGGCTGGGAAGGTTGCTCAGTGGTAGAGCGCTTGCCTTGCATGCATGAGGCCCTGGGTTCAATTCCCCAACACCACATAAGCAAAAAGAAAAAAGCTGGAAGTGGCGCTATGGCTCAAGTGGTAGAGCACTAGCCTTGAGCTGAAGAGCTGAGCGACAGTGCCCAGGTCCAGAGTTAAGGCCCAAGACCAGACCCCCCTTCAAAAAAAAAGAAAAAGAAAAATCCATCTGGAAACATGAAAGACCTCAAATAACAAAAAGAATCCAGAGCAAAAGTGCAATCCTAAAGGTATCACAATACTAAAGTGTAAATTACTTTACCAAGCCATAGTAACAAAAATAACACAAAGAAAAAAGGAATAGTAGACCCAGAAATGAAACCACACAGGTCCACCCATCTGAGTTTTGACAAAGGGGCCAAAAATACACATTGTAAAAAGGACAACCTCTTCAACAAATAGTGTTGGGAAAACTGGTTGTCTATATGCTTAAGACTGAAAACTAGACCCCCATCTCATCCTACACAATAGTCAGTGCAAAATAAATCAAAGATTTTACATAAGACCTGAAACACCAAAACTACATCAGAAAACACAGAGAAAACACTGCTAGCCTTAGCTGAAGAGATGAGGGACAGCACTCAGGCCCAGAGTTTAAGAGTTTAAGAAAGAAAGAGAGAGAGAGAGAGAGATAGAAAGGAAGGAAGGAAGGAAGGAAGGAAGGAAGGAAGGAAGGAAGGAAGGAAGGAAGGAAGGAAGGAAAGGAAGAAAGAAGAAAGAAATGCAAATCAAAACTACACAGATTCCATTCCATTCCAATCACAAAAAATAAGGTAGGTGCTGGTGGTGCCTGTAATCCTAGCTATTCAGGAGGCAGAGTTCTAAGGATAGCAGTGTGAAGCCAGCCCAGGCAGGAAAGTCCATGAAACTCCCATCTCCAATTAACCAGCAAAAAAGTGGAGCTGTGGCTCAAGTAGTAGAGGGCTAGTCTTAAGCATGAAATATTATTTAGCCATAAAGAAGAATGAAATTATGTGGTGTACAGAAAAATGGCTGGAACCACAGATCATCATGTTTGGCAAGATAAACCAAGTTTAAAAAGCCAAGAATCACATTTGTTCAGCCACACATGAACTCCGATGATGTTGATAATGATAATCATGATCATGGAACATGAGTATAAAAGGAAGACTGTTTGAGATGGGGGAGGATTAGTGGGAAGAATAGGTAGAGGAGAAGATGGTAGCTAGGGGATGAAGATTGAAGTGCATTATACACACAAACATGGAGATAGCATAATGAAACCCACAAAATACTGTAAAGGGGGAGAGATCTGGGCATGTAGCTCTGTATTATTTGAGTAATTTGGCATTGCATATTGTTAAGTTAAATGCATTAAAAGAAAATAGGTTGAGCGTGATGGCATATATCAGTAATCCTCATTACTTGTGACATAAAGATCAGGAGTATTGAGGTTGAAAGCCAACTAGGGAAAAATGTTATTTAGATCCCAATTTCAATAGATGAGCCATGTCTGGTGATATACACCTGTAATCCTAGCTGTATAAGAAATATGCAGGATGATTAGGGCCCAAGGCTGGTTCCTGGCAAAAGCACAAGTATATTGAGAAATAAGTACAGCAAAATAGATGTGTGTGGCTCTAGTGGTACAGTGCCTGCCTCTCAGCACGAGGCCCTGAATTCAAAAGCAGTACTGCCAAAGAAATGAAACAAAACAAAAATTAAGGCTAATACTGTGATAGCAACACAGATCAGACTAACATAAATACAAATTCTTCATTGCTGTGTTATCTTAACTTCCAAAATGAATTCATTCCCTTGTCTATAGCTTTTTCTTTTTCTTTTTTGCCAGTGCTGGAGCTTAGTCTTAGGCCTTGGGTCTTGCTTTCTCTCTCAGCTTTTTCACTCAAGATTGGGACTTTACCACTTGAGCCACACTTGCACTTCAGGCTTTTTGCTGGTTAAGAATCACATGGATCTCTCTGCACAGGATGGCTTTGAACCTGGATCCACTACCGCTGGGCTTCATATTGATCTTTTAAAAAAAAACAAAAAACTAGAACTGTGTTTATTTTTAAATTTGTTTAATGTATTTATGGTCATACTTGTGTCTGAACTCAGGGCTTGCTATGCTAGAACTCAACACTAAGCCTGACTCAAGCCCTTTTCTGACTAGTTACTTTTGAGATGGGTGAGTCAGTCTTTCTTCCTGCTTGGACTATGATCCATCTATATAGGCTTCCTGTCATAGATGATAGATGCCTCACCATTACACCCAGTTTCTTTCCACTACAATGGAGTCTCACTACCATTTCTGTCTCAGCTGACCAAAAACAGATCTTCCCATTCTCAGCCTCCCTTGCTGCTGTGATGATAGGCATATGCCACTGCACTCAGCTGTTGATTTTTTTTTTCCTGGTATTGGTACTGGGCTTAACCTCAGGGCCTCCCACTCCTGCTTGGCTTTATCCCTCATTGATGGCACTTTACAATTTGAGCCATACCTACTTTTTTTTAGTCAAGAGATTTCTGGCTGAGCTGGCTTTGAAATAGGATACTCAGATATCAGCCTCCTAAATAGCTAGATTACAGATATGAGACAGCAGTGCTCAATAATTATTACTATTTTTTTGCTGGTCCTGGGGTTTGAACTCAGGGTTTGGGCGCTGTCCCTGTGCCTTTTTGTGATTGCCACTTGAGCCACAGCATCAGTTCTGGCTTTTGAGTAGTTTATTGGAGATAAAAGTCTCTCAGGAGCTGGGCACTGGTGGCTCACGCCTATAATCCTAGTTATTCAGGAGGATGAGATCTGAGGATAGTGATTCCAAGCCAGCCCAGGCAGGAAAGTCTGTGAGACTCTTATCTCCAATAAACCACCAGAGAACCACAAGTGGTGCTGTGACTCAAGTGGTAAAGTGCTTGCCTTGAGCTGAAGAGCTCAGGGACAGTGCCTGGGACAGAGTTCAAGCCCTACAACAGACAAAAAACAAAAAAAACTTCTGGGACTTTTCTGCCCAGTCTGGCTTTGAACTGCAATGCTCAGATCTCAGCCTTCTGGGTAGCTAGGATTACAGGTGTGAGCCACCAGCACCGAGCTGAATTATTTTTAAACTGAAGTTATTCTTAAACCCAAAGCATTTCTGTAACGGAAAAATAGGAAAGAGGATACTTTTAAGGGCATAGTTCAAATGGTAGTGTACCTAAAGAAGTTCAGGGACCTAAGTACAAAACCACAGTACTATAAAAAAAAAAATGATAAATTTGCTTCAGCAACAAGGGCTCAGGGATATCACAACGTATCAAATAAAAAGACACAAAGTAATGTGAAATCACAAAGCTCTTTATGCACTTACAGATGTATACAGGTATCTAATATAACAAAAACAAGACTTTTAATAATACATAAAAGATAATGACTCATCTTCTATGTTTCACACACCAACAAAACTATAACATAAGGTACAAAAATTACCTACTTAAGGAGGAGGCTGCAATGCTTGGTAAGAAATGTACGCATTATCCTGCCCATGTAATTGTAACCCCTCTGTACAGTATGTTCACAAATAAAATAAAATTAAATTAAAAAAAAAATTACCTACCTAGCTCTTTCCGCCACTGGGCTCTTTTTGCTTCCAACAAACTTTTATCACGTTCCCTTTCTCCCAGAGTACTAAATATGTCAGCTGGTTGCCATTTATTTTTTCTAAGGTAAAACACACACACAAAAGGAAACAGAAACCTTAACACTATGTATTTATATGGCTAATTCCATAAATATTAATAAGCTTTTAAGTAGCAAGATCTTTAGAGTATTTCACATATAGCAAAACCATATTCCCAAGATGATCCCAGAAATACAAGTATGAGTTACATACATGACAGTTTTCTGCTCATATTGTTCAGTTGCTTCCTGATTTTTATTGAAGAGAGATTTATTTTCATCTAGGGTGGATAAAACAGCCTCTTTTTTTTGTAGTAAGCCCATGATGTTCTCATCCTCTGGCTCATTCAGAATATTTTTTAAATGTAGACTGTCCTGACCTGGGGAGGGGGTGGGGGTGGAAATGTGTATTTTTAAATTAACACTAAATTGTATTTATTATAATTCCTTACCCTGCCATACTTCTATACAGCTTAAAGACATCTTACATATTAACTCTCAAAATCATCCTTGACTTGAGTTTCTGCCCAAAAAAGAGGGGAACTGGATCTATATACAAAGTGGCTGCTCATGGCCAGAGCCATACAACTCTTGCTAAGCATACTTTCACAAATTGTATGTCACAACCTAAAAGGGAATTAACTTAAATAGCTTAGTAAAAGCTCAATATCTTGATTATATTCTATTTAAAAATCTACCAGTGAAATCAGAGAAAAACTTTTCCATGAGTGGGTGTTGGTGGCTCACACCTGAAATCCTCATTATTCAGGAGGCTGAGATCTGAGGACTGTGGTTTGAAGCCAGCCGGGACAGGAAAGGCCATGAGGCTCTCATCTCCAATTAACCACCTAAAAACTGGAAGTAGAACTATGGCTCTAAGTGGTAGAGTGCTAGCCTTGAGGAAAAAGAAAAAAAAGGTTCAGGGACAATATCCAGGACCTGGGGTCAAGCCCATGACTGACAAAGAAAACCTTTCCCTGAGGGCTGAGAAGGTGGCTCAGTGGTGGAGCGCTTGCCTTGCATGCATGAGGCATTGGGTTCAGTTCCTCAGCACCACATAAGCAGAAAAAACTAGAAGTAGTGCTGTGGCTCAAGTGGTAGAGTGCTAGCCCTGAGCTGAAGAGCTGAGGGACAGTGTCCAGGCCCAGAGTTCAATCACCACAACTTGAAAAAAAGAACACCTTTTCCATGAACCATTATCTCTGGCCTACCTACTTATACTAGCTACATCAAATATTTTGTCAAGGGCTCATATGCTAGCCCCAGAACTGTTCTAGCTCCTCAAAAAGAGAAAGCACAGTAAATACAAGATCCTCTTATCAAGCCAGATGCCAGTGGCTCATGCCTGTAATCCGAGCTACTCAGGAGGCTGAGATCTGAGGATCACAGTTTAAAGCTGGCCCAGGCAGGTAAGTCTGTGAGATTCTTATCTCCAATTAACCACCAGAAAACCAGAAGTCGTGCTGTGGCTCAAGTGGTAGAGCAATAGCCTTGAGCTGAAGAGCTCAGGGACAGTGCCCAGGCCCAGAGTTCAAGCCCCATGCCCCGACTCCCCCATCCCCAAAAAAGATCCTATCATGATTAGATAAAATGTGCTTTAACTGTTAATATTCTTTCTCATTATGTCAAGTTGTTATTTTTGTTGTTTGAGCTAGCAATCTAAGCTGAAGAACAAAATCAAGTTCCCTTATTTTAACCGAAAAATATGAATTAAAATAGACTAATGACTACATTGTCAACAAGTTGGAAATGTATAGCAGGTACCTGACCCTCAAGCTAGTTGGGAGGCCTAAAGAGACCGCCAAATTGATATTTTCTGCTATTGCCTAATAAAAATATAATGATATTTCTCCATTATTTTCATATTTACAATTCCTTAGATCAGAGATAATATTAGAAGTATTGTAAACACAAGACAGGGCCCTGGGGCTGGGAAGGTGGCTCAGTGGTAGAGCGCTTGCCTTGCATGCATGAGGCCCTGGGTTCCATTCGTCAGCACCACATAAGCAGAAAAAAAAAAAAAAAAGCCGGAAGTGGCGCTGTGGCTCAAGTGGTAGAGTGCTAGCCTTGAGCTGAAGAGCTGAGGGACAGTGCCCAGGCCCAGAGTTCAGGCCCCACGACTGGACACCGCCCCCCCCCCCCCAAAAAAAAGGCAGGGCCCTGACATTGTCAAACAAAGTTTATGACACACTATGATTTATGTAACTGTACCTGACATTGGCTAAAGGATTAAAGGCAGACCTTAATATGAATTGAAGGCAGAACATGTACAGGGACAGAGGAGCAATGTCTGTCAGCAACTGAAGTACAAGGGAAGTCTCCTTTTCATTTGAAATACCATTTTAAAAAACAAAACACTGTTTTATATAATTACCTTACAAGTTAAGTCTCCTAAATTCTAAAATATGTACAATTTTCTGTATTAACATCTTTGCATGTGTGTCTGTGTGCGCATGCCCGTCCTGAGGATTTGGGCCCAGTGCTGTCCTTAAGTTTTTTTTGCTCAAGGCTAGCAGTCTACCCCTTGAGCCACAGCACCACTTCTGGCTTTTTCTGAGTTTAATGGACATAAGAATCTCACACTTTCCTTCCCCAGCTGGCTTCAAACCATGATCCTCAGATTTCAGCTTCTTGAATACCTAGGATTACAGGGGTGAATCACTAGCACCCCGCTAGTATTAACATATTTAATGGAGTACACAGAAACTAGTTTTCTTAAGGATATTTTGAGCACTAATCTAAACTATGGCATAACTACAAAAGAAATTTTAGATAACAGATCATTTTTATTTTATTTTTGATAATTTTTAAAGACGTTAAATTGAAACCAAAGAGGCAGTTATATAAAAGCCAATCAATCAGAAAATCTAAAGTACATACTGAAAAAATATTCAACAAAACAGAAAAATCTTACTTGTTTTCTCATCATTTTCACTGTTAGTCAGAGAAACAGATCCATTTCCTTGGTTTATATTCATCAAAATCTGTTGTAGTTGGTCTTGTGTTAGACACACCAAACTGCTACTCATGTTTTCAGTTATGTTGTGTTTTTTATGAGGCTTCTCTTTAATTACTAAAGATGGATTTATGGTGTTTCGAGTCTTCTTTATATTAGGGGTTAAAGATGATACTTCTGTTTGGATATGAAGACAGTCTTTATCTTCATACTGCTTATATAAATCCTTAGTGGGTGTAACTGTCATTCTATTCTTTTCACTTTTGGACTGTGAAGTTTCTGAACCAACTGTCTTCTTTTGCAAAAGTTTTTCACTCCCAATATAAGAATTTTGTGTTGACTTTAGAAGGTGTCCAGTGTGCTTTGTTCTTAAAGGACATTTTGTAATCTTGCTCTTATTTCCCATCTGTTAAAAAAAAAATACTGTTTATTTTTTTCATGTACTGCTGTCGTGGAAAAATAAACTTTTGTGGTTGTCATTGTTGTTTGAGACAGGGTCTCATTATGCAGCCCAAGCTGGCCTAGAACTCCTAATACTTTACCTCTGCCTTTAGAGTGCTGTGATTAAGACGTGTACTACACCCTAACGATTTTCTCTTATCTTGACGTTGTAACTACCCACAACTGTAACTTGTCCATAACCTCAATTTCAATTATTGAAAGACTATCATCTAATTTTTTTCCAACTCACTTCCTGCCATATCCCAATTCCAACAATCTTCATCTGGACTAGGGTGTGTAATCTGTTGATACTACATTTCTCTGGCTCCCATTTCCCTTCTTAACAATCTTAAACCTTATTTTTCCATTTTTTGCTCTGTTTTCTGTCACAAATATTTAGCAAATCCCATCCCTGGCAAGACAACTTTACAAGTCTGTAACTTTACCCGCAGAGAAAAATAGCCATGCTAACTGGTTTCACTTAAACTTATAACCAAGAACATCAAATGAGTTCTAACCTCTACCTGTCATATATTTCCGAAGTCCAATTACTTTCTTGCTCTTTTAGTAATTATTTAACCTCCTTTTCCCCAAAACCCCGAACACTTTTTCTCTCATGCCTACTCTGAGCTGGAAACTTTAATATAAGAACTCTTGTTATTCACCCAGTCCTTATTCTTAAGGATCTCTAGCAATTTTTTGCTGCCCCCAAATCAAATTATTTTTGCAGTTGATCACAACTGTTTCAATACAAACATGGTATTATTTTACCATCTTAAAAAATTCTTTTTTGGGGGACTGGGAAAGTGGCTCAGTGGTAGAGTGCTTGCCTTGCATGCATGAGGCCCTGGGTTCGACTCCTCAGCACCACATAAGCAGAAAAAGCTGGAAGTGAGGCTGTGGCTCAAGTGGTAGAGCACTAGCCTTGAGCTGAAGAGCTGAGGGACACTGCCCAGGCCCAGAGTTCAGGCCCCATGACTGGCAAAAAAATAAATAAATTCTTTTTATTTTTTTTGTCAGTCGTGGGGCTTGAACTCTACGCCTGGGTGCTGTCCCTAAGCTCTGCAGCTCAAGGCAAGCGCTCTACCGCTTGAGCCACAGCACCACTTTTGGTTTGCCACTTCTGGTTTTTGAGTGGTTTACTGGAGATAAGAGTCTCACAGACTTTCCTGCCTGGGATGGCTTTGAACCGTGATCCTCAGATCTCAGCATCCTGAGTAGCTAGGATTACAGGCGTGAGCCACCAGCGCCCAGCCCATCTTAAAAAATTCTTGATTCCACTGGGTGCTTGCGGCTCACGTCTGTAATTCTAACTACTCAGGGGGCCGAGATCTGAGGATCGAAGTTTATAGTCAGTCTGGGCAGGAAAGTTCGTGAAACTCTTTTTTTTTTGGGGGGGGGGGGTCCAGTCGTGGGGCCTGAACTCTGGGCCTGGGTGCTGTCCCTTAGCATTTCAGCTGAAGGCTAGCACCATACCACTTGAGCCACAGCGCCACTTCCGGCTTTTTTCTTTTTGCTTATGTGGTGCTGAGGAATCGAACCCAGGGTCTCATGCATGCAAGGCAAGCGCTCTACCACTGAGCTACCTTCCCAGCCCCTCATGAAACTCTTAACTCCAATAAACCACCTGAAAACTGAAAGTGTTGCTGTAGCTCAAGTGGTATAGAGCGCTAGCCTTGAGCTGACGAGCTGAGGGACAGCGCTCAGTCCCAGAGTTCAAGCCCCATGACCAACCACTGCCCCCCCCACCCAAAAAAAAGTCTTGATTCCACTTGTCTTTTCATCTCCTAAAAGCCCATTTCAACTAACAGTTACTAACAACTTCTACTTTACTACTTCTAGTAACGAATTCTCAAATCTTCATTTTACTGACCCAAACCGACATCTGACACAGCTGATTACTCTTTCCACATTGAAACACATCTTCTGTTTTTCATGCCAAAAGTTTTAAAAGCAGTTATACTTGACTCCTCTCTCTCTCGTTTTTTTTTTTTTTTTTTTGGTCGGTCATGGGGCCTGAACTCGGGTCTGGACATTGTCCCTCAGCTCTTCAGCTCAAGGCTAGCACTCTACCAATTGAGCCACAGCGCTACTTCTAGTTTTTCTGTTTATGTGGTGCTGAGGAATTGAACCCAGGGCCTCATGCATGCAAGGCAAGCGCTCTACCACTGAGCTACCTTCCCAGCACCTTGACTCCTTTCTTATATACCACAGTTAATTTGTCATCAAACAGTTTAACAATATCTTTAAAACATATCCTGAGTCTTGCCACCCCACACATCTCTTGTTACTCCTCTATTCCAACATATTTCACTCTCACCTGAATTACTACAAAATGTTCTAATAACTGGTATCCTGCTTCTACTCTTGCTTGTCAATTTATTTTCAACACAGAAGCCACAGTGATTACCATACTACATGTCAGATCATGCTCTGTCTTCAAAAGCCTCTAATGGTTTGTATCTTACTTAGAGGCAAAGTTAAACTCATGACGATCTAAAAAGCCCTAATGATCTGTATCTGCTTTCTCCCTGCTGCTTTGCCCCTTTTGTTCACATCTATCTTGGTTTTTCTATGTCTCAGCTTCTAGTACTTGGTTGTTTTTTTAACTCAACATGGTTTTAGCAAAAGTCAATCCCTGCTCCTACGATGTCTTTCCTCCAGATTTAATACAAGTCATTCCCTTACCTCCTCCCAATCTGCTCAAGTATCTCATACTCAGCGAGGGCTAATTTAATCACCTGTTCTACATAGCTTCCCCCCTTTTCTAGCAACAACTATTTCTAGTGCTGCTAAGGCCTTAAAGTGATCACACTTCTTCCCTTCCATTTCTTGTCAGAGCTCCTTTAATATTTATTAAGTTTAGTGTCTGCCACTGACAGCTTCCTAATACAAACTCCACAGGGCAGATTTTTGTCTACTTTGTTTATTCCAGTGTCTCCTCATTACTTACAACATGTAAGATATTCAATTCTTTATCTCTTGCTCTCAAAGTAGCTCTCTTTTCTAAAATATTCCCTTTCTATAGGAAACCATACTAACCATAAAGTCATCTTACACCTTCATTCTTCAAGGGGGTCTTTATCTTATTAAGAAATATTGATTATATACTGATTCCCAATGCCTTTCTCATCTTAACGTAAGGACAAACCTTAGGTCATCAGGTTTTGATGACCACTACTAGATTATAGCTTACCTATTTCATGTCTTCCATTTAATCCTTTGTACATTTCTGTAAACTCAACTAAAATAATTCAATTATCACTTCTTTTAACTTACATTAACTACTGCTTTTAGTGTTTTTGCCCCTATTTAAAAAGTGTTGAGGATATAAGTGACTAAACAAGGGCTAGGGAGATGAGGAGGAGGTGGAAAGAGCAAAAGGGAAGAGGGAGAGAAAAGGGTAGAGAACTTGCCTGAGAACTAGCCCTAGGTTCAGTGCTTGTACCATCTCCCATCCCAAATGGTTAAGAGAAGAACTTTGGGGTCAAAGAGTAGGTTATATGCCCTCAAAGTTTTCATCTGATTTACCATTTCCAAATTTGCTTCAAGAAACTCTAACATATAACCAATTTGCCAATTACAATTCATCCTTTCTAAGATATACCCAAAGCATCAGCTATAAGGTAGGAACAGAGGTGGTCTCTCTCTTTTTTTCTTGGGGGGGGGGGGGTCCAGTCATGGGGCCTAAACTCTGGGCCTGGGCACTGTCCCTCTGCTCTTCAGCTCAAGGCTAGCACTCTACCACTTGAGTCACAGCGCCACTTCCGGCTTTTTCTGCTTATGTGGTGCTGAGGAATCGAACCCAGGGCTTCATGCATGCAAGGCAAGCACTCTACCACTGAGCCACCTTCCCAGCCCCCAGAGGTGGTGTTTGGCAGTACTTTGTCTCAGGTGCAGCTTGTTACTCTGAGTCAATGGGGCCTGGCAGGTGGTTCAGTCCTTCCTGTATTCCAAGATGGATACAAGTTGTTTGTTGTTTTGTTAACAGAGCTTGATTTCAGGGTCTCTTGATCTCAGTTTTTTCATTCATGGCTGGCACTCTACCACTTGTGCTACACCCCCCAGCCCTTTTTCTCATCTTGTTCTTGTTGTTCTGTTTTTTTAGTTGCTGTTGCTGGGTAATTGCCTAGGCTAGCTTTGAATCTGATTCTCAGCTCTCAAGCTCCTGAGTAGCTAGGATTATAAAACTGAATCATTAAAGCTGGGTGCTGGTGGCTCAAGCCTATAATCCTAGCTACTCAGGAGGCTGAGATCTGAGGATGAGGCTCAAAGCCAGCCCGGGGAGGAAAGTCTGTGAAACTCTTATCTCCAATAAAAACCACCAGAAAACCAGAAGTGGCACTGTAGCTCAAGGGATGGAGCACTAGCCTTGAGCTGAAGAGCTGAGGGACAGTGCTCAGGCCCTGAGTTCAAGCCCCACGACTGACCAAAAAAAAAAAAAAAAAAAAGAATAGTACCTCACTGGTTTTAGCTTTTTGATAATATGAATATCTCAATCTAAAATATCTTTTTACTCTTCCATGCCTGCAACTATTTTTATGTAACTATTTGTCTAAACAAGGGATGAAACACTCAAATATCTGCTATGAATTGACCAGATGGGAACTGAGATGAACAAAAGTCCGTTTTCCCATGTAAAGGAGTCAGTTTTCCCATTTAAAGGAAACTATCTCCACTCAAAGCCACTACCTTACACTGCTAAATAGGCATATAGCATAGTTGTCAAAACAGGAACATAGCCTAGTTAAGATCATTCAATATTTCAAGAAAAAATTTTCAAAAGCCAAACTTTACATGAAATTTTCCAATTTTTAGACACTAACAAGTCATTCTAGATTTTTTTTAAAAAAAAAATCAATTCTTGGATCAAGCAAATGATCAGCATGTAAATAGTGCTTTTTGGCCTGGAAGTATTTACTCCTTACTTGGATTCACAAATTGGCTGGTAGCAAGATAAAGTAA